TTTTTTAGTCCGCCATATTGGATCCACCATCTTGAATTTTGAAAATCTGATTTCAGATTCGCAATCAGCGACCCCAAAAACCCTTATATTCAAAATTTCACAGCATTAGCAATATTTTCTAGTTTTTAGTCCGCCATATTGGATCCACCATCTTGAGTTTTGAAAATCTGCTTCCAGATTTGTAATCGGCGACCCCAAAAACCCTTATATTCAAAATTTCACAGCCGTAGCGATATTTTCTATTTTTTAGTCCGCCATATTGGATCCACCATCTTGAATTTTGAAAATCTGATTTCAGATTCGCAATCAGCGACCCCAAAAACCCTTATATTCAAAATTTCACAGCATTAGCAATATTTTCTAGTTTTTAGTCCGCCATATTGGATCCACCATCTTGAGTTTTGAAAATCTGCTTCCAGATTTGTAATCGGCGACCCCAAAAACCCTTATATTCAAAATTTCACAGCCGTAGCGATATTTTCTATTTTTTAGTCCGTCATATTGGATCCGCCATCTTGAATTTTGAAAATCTGCTTCCATATTCGTAATCAGCGACCCCAAAAACCCTTATATTCAAAATTTCACAGCCTTAGCGATATTTTCTATTTTTTAATCCGCCATCTTGAATTTTGAAAACCTGATTTCATATTTATAACCAGCGACCCCAAAAACCCCTTGTGAAAAATTGGTGCATAATAGGATTAACTTAGCTTCCTCGACCATCCTTGTAATGTTACACTCCAGCCAGGTCTTCTGCCTTACAAGGTCACGGGGATCAGATGTGAACAAGGCCTTAGCTGCGCCGCTCTCTGGACCTTCTCCACTTTTCCTTTTTTATCCTTCGGCCTCGTTTCCTCTTCGTTTCATCCTTTGCATTCTTCTCCCTTCGATACCTTCGCTTTCTTTTTTTCTCTTCCTTGGTCCTCTTGCTCGGTTTCCAAGCTCCGCTCCTTCGGACTTTGTGTCTTCGACGGGTACACCTCGTTGATCTCCTCTTTTTCCCCACCTTCTGGTCCGCACCGCGACTTTTTGATATTCAAAGCTTTCTCTACGCCTGTTTCTCTGCTCGTTCGAGGCTTTTTCTGCGCCACCCGGCACGCTTTGCGTAGCTACCACCCTTCCGCTTGTTGGAGCCGATCTCTTCCTGCTGGCTGGCTACCTACTTCCGTCTCCTTTTTTAGACTTTCTTCCGTTTTTGCCCTCGCTCGAAGTCCCTTCTGTTTGATTTGCCTATCGATCCTCGACTAATTTACATGCAATCCTTTTTTCTTCACGCTGGTCTCACGAGTATTTTCTTCTTTGCTGTTCTGCCTTATCGGTTGTTGATATTAATGTTATTTTTCAAGTTTAATTCGCCTTAATTATCAACGAATTAATTAGATACATACATTCTTCTTCAAATTGTTAGAACGATAAACACGAGACTGGAGATGCGGCAAATATTGAAAATAATAAAATTTCCACTTGATATACGATCTCATTACTCGTTCATGATGCCGTAATCACAACCGTGGGATCTGATTCGAAGTTTTTGATCGTCGATTCCGGAGATGCTATCTCTTACAACCACGATCCACTCTTTAATTTTTCTTCCCTCCTCTTCCTTCCTCTTCCTTCGCGTAACCTCCGCAACCACGTAATCACTTCAAATTGTGCATCCCCCTCGTTAATTTTCCTCTCGTTGCAAACGAGAAACGATAAGAGATTCTTCTTCGTCAATTTATGAATTTAACGAGGAATTATAACCTACTGGATGATATTAACTTTCTATTAGCCATAAGTCAATCCACTATTCGTCTCAAAGCATAAATGTTACTCGTGTTGCAGGATGTGGAACGCGTGAAATGACAATCGAAGGAAAACTGAAGAAATGAATAGTATATAATGTACAGTATCTGTTACCGAATAATCTGGTTGGTAGTCATATTACGGCGCGTTAATTGGACAACTGTTTTACCGATAAAACACTTTAGACCAATCAGATAGCTGCGCTTATCTAACCAGCCCTCCTCCGCCAATCACAGAGCGCGTTACTTCAACTGTAGGTAAGTACTGTGCAGAGATGAGAAGATGACGAGTGGTAGGAATGCGGGTACGATTGGTCGCAGTCGGTAAGTCACACCTTACGCACACGCACTCTAGATCGTCGCGTGTTATCGACCGATGCGGTCAAATACTAAATGCGTCACCTGACAAAGCAGGAAAATGAGAATTTGTGAAAAAAGTAAGACGGAACGAAGTCAGCGTTGCGATGGGGATCAAACGTGGTGACAGGGCGGAGCGTGCGAAGTGCTCCCTTTGCCCCCCTGCCTTCCCGCTAGTCATCTTTCTATCTCTGCACAGTAAATGGGCCAGATGCATCTGATAAAGCCACTCGCATCGCGCGGAGGCCAGTCAGTCTGCTCTTGGGCTTCGAAGAAGCAGGGGTGTTTTCATTTTGCACATTATTGCTTCAGAATCGCGTTACCAATAAAAACATTAACGATTAATTAATCCATGATATTAACTTTTTAACGCATTAATAATTAGATATACCAGGAAAATAAATGTCGAAAAGAATTTTTCTGCTGTTTCGTTCAGTGATTCTCAACTTTTTCAAAATCACAGAACATTTACCATTTTACACAATTTTTGCGGACCACAGTCATAAAATAAAACAGTATATATATTCTCTATATTGCGAGCAGTGATTCTCAACCTTTTCAAAATCACGAAGCATTTATAATTGTACCAAATTTTTGCGGAACACAGTCATAAAATAAAACAGTATATATATATTCTTTATATTGCGAACAGTGGTTCTCAACCTTTCCAAAATCACGAAACCTTTATAATTTTACAAAATTTTTGCAGAACACAGTCATAAAATAAAACAGTATGTATATTCTTTATATTGCGAGCAGTGGTTCTCAACCTTTTCAAAATATATATTTTTTATATCGCATAATAAATAAAAATCACATACGTAACAGGTCACAATTATGTTAACAGGATATTTTGACGGAACACATTCTCTAAGTTCACGGAGCACCGGTTAAGAACCACTGGCATAGAGATAGGTACAGAAGAAACGTCGGTAAGCCTAGTGTTAATAACAAAGGGAAAAACGGGCGAGCTGGCGGAGAATCTCAGATGTTAACTGAACAACTATAATCATTAATCAAGCTCCCTCGCCCTTTTCTCGCTCTTCCGATCCCGCCTGAGCGATAAGTAATTCATTAGGCATTGACTAACTCCATCCGATCGTCTTCTATTAAGAAGGAAGAACCCTGACGAATTAAGTAAATAATATACCTGAAACTTCTTCATAACGGTGCTGCTTCGTAATACGAAAATACAGAAGAATTTCAATAATCTTAACGGCAACGACAGTCTTGCAAACACACTAACCGAAAATTACGATGGCAGCAGCGAGATGGATAAAGAAGAAAATCGAAATAAGATGAAAGACAAGAGGGAAAGAAGAACAAAGAAGAAGCACGAAAGGATCGGGGTGGGAAGGTGGTAAAAGGAGGAGAAGGATGCTCCTAATTCGTAGTTCGGGGCGGGGTTTTTTTCGACGAGAAAGAGGGGAATACCGATAGATCGTATGGGTGCAAGGGAACACGAGCTAGCACAAAGCGAGCTGAGGTATAAATTGGTTTGTTTGCCACGGAGATAAAAGGGGCCGCTAAATGTTATCTTTAAGGTGTCGGATCAACGCAAATGTGGCTGAGTTACTCGTAATTATAGTATACACGAAGCTCGGCCCTCGTCTCTACTTGCCGCCTCACGGGCTCGTTTCTCGTGCGGCTTCATTGGCGTAACTATCGATCTCGATCCGCGATCGAGACGCAGATATCGGAGCCGATACTTGTTTGGTTAGACGGACGATCGATCCGATTCGACCCGGCGATCGCGGCGCGACGCCAGCCGCGCGGATCCATCGATTACCTTTGGGCTGATAATAATTTACGACAAACTGGCGTTTTGAGACGGCCCTGCTTAAAATCGCATGAAAATCTAATCGCGATAAACAGATGCTTCTTAATTATTCATGCTAATTAAACTCCTTACAAATGTTGCTTTTTTAATTTTTTTTTTTAAGACCTCGCGAAATATTAAAATGGAAATTACTCTTTACAGTAAGGACCAAAATTTAGTTTTGTACTCGAAGCAAGTTGTATTATTTTAATATTACGCCAATGGGAATGCTTTTTATCTCAGTTTCCAACAAGATGGGCCTTCCCATTGGTGCGTCTTGAAAAAGCCGCGTGTACAGTGGGGCCAACATTATAGCACAAAATAATAATTCATAAATTATACACGCCTCGACCGTTTAGAGGCTTAGGTATACAGCTCACTGCACATGCAGCTGATTTTAGTGCAGGTATATCAATAAGCCTCGCTAGACCCGCAGCTATTATACACCGGGTGTCAAAAAAGTATCCCTAGAATATTTCTTGTCTTACTGCAAGTCGAACAGTAATTACAATCTATTTCAATTACTCATAATAAAAAGGGAAGAATTATTTTAAATAATTTTGAATTGTTTACTTTATATAGAACATAGCTATGTAAATTTCATAACATAATTGAACGAACTAAAATTTTAACACAATACAATCAAATTTTATTTCGATGTTTTTAAATTTTTAACCTGAAAAGCGCGCCTTTAGCGCCATCTAGTGGTGCGCAGGAAACCTACCGCGTCACAAAATTGGTGATTTCTGGGCTTTTTGAAACTGATAGAACATTCTACAGTGAAAATAATGGCATTATAGTGCATCTGAGGCATTAATAATGATATTAAAAAAAATAGCACTTTATAGATCATGAAATGATATAAGCATCTAGCGGTGGCTGCTCGGAACTAAACTGAATAATTTTTCCTTACTTTCTACAATATTCTTCTCTTTTTTTATTTGTTAGCATTTGCAGGACATACTGAATCAATGATGTGCACCAAAGAACGCAATTTAAATAAATATACTATGTTTTAAATAATAAAGGTACGTTACCGGTGCCGGAACATTATGTGACGTCCCCAGATGTCTTATTTTCCTTATATTGCCCCACGATGCGTTTTTTTCTTGTAGATTTAAGAATTAAGCCTGATAGGGTAAAGCAGGAATCCCGTTGTTATGCAGCCACTCTAGGATGGAGGTTAGGAGAGACCTCAATGGGGTTAGAAGTTCTCGACTGCTTTCATTTAACACTACGAAAATATGGCAACATTCCTAAAGTTACTATCAAAGCTAAAGAAACAAGAAAATTCCTTTCTTACTAGCACTCACCTCTGAATTCTTACAATTACTCGTCCAAAGCAGGTTTCTGCAACACAGATCTTCACTAGTGTGTTCGGTAACAAATCCTGGGACAGACGCACTTTCTTTAAAAAAGACCGCCAAACAGTGGATACTGCTTGTGTCATCTAATGACAAAATGATGAATTATGGCTGGTAAATTACCAGTAGTTCATTTTTGTTATCATACTTACATAGTTCAGCTTTTTACTGTTTAATGGCCGCAGCGCTGTTATTTCTAGACTTCTTTCTTATCTACGTTTAGTTGATAATACCTGTTTGCATTTAAATACCTTCATTTTGTAAAATATTTCATCTTGTAAAATACTTTATGCGTGCTAATAAGTTAAAATGTCGAGTATTAATCAAGAAGTAAAGTAAGTTCTAATTCGGTTATTTCCGGCTGAGGCTGTTCAAAATTTTCGCGGGCTATTTAAAAAAATTCTTCGTCTTGGATTCTATTCGATAGTTAACAGTACTAGAGATATTTTTTAAAAAAACAAGCCAGTAGATACACTTGTATTTCATACTTCATGATTTCTTTTTTACAACTTTTATGTTGGCAATAAATACAAATTGAAAATTGTTAGGTTATGTTTCTGTTGAATGTTTATCATTCCTGTCAGCATTTCTTAAGGTGATAATTAAAGCACTGAGAATCGATCGAGAAATAATAATTAATACAGTTATGGGAAATGAATCGATGGAGGAAACAAAAGCAGAATGTTCTTTTAAGTTTCATGATTTTGTGGCAACAGTTGGTGAACAAACAATCGCTTGTCATATAATTAAAATGGAAGATTGTCTTTATTTGTGGGTGGGTGGTGTTAATGAAAATGCCATGAACGATTTATCATTTGCAATGGTATCACCGTATGAAAACCAACCACTTGTAACAAAAATTATGGGACCGATCGCTAATGAAGCTTCGAGCAACTTGGCTAAAAGGCTTTCAAAAAAGCTGTCCAAGCCTGTATATGTCAGTTTCAATGTTGAGGCTAATAATTTGTCTTTACCTGCCATCGAGAGGAGACTTAGAGATGAATTTAATTCACACCCTGAAATTTTGTAACGAAATCACGCAAGTTGTATTCTAATTAATGTCTCGTGTAATATCATATTGATATGATACATGAAAATTATTATGTGAATTTACATATTTTGTACTGAATATTATTTGAATAAATGTATTTTCTTTTATCAAATATTAATATTTCATCGTTTTATTTCAATAAATAGAATGTGTCAGAAAAGGAGGTTGCAGGTTAGGATCTCTAGAATCACTCTAAATTTTTTCAAACTCAAACAGACAACAGAACGCCTTTTCTCTTACATTATGATTATAAAGTGGTAGCAATATTTTACTAAATGCAGACTGTATTTTTCTGCTGGCTAATAACAAATATATGCGACGAAAAATATTAATATTCACACTCTAGGGATTTATTGCTGATAAGAGGAGGGGTTGTCGTTCTGTAAAACTCTCTTCAGGAATAGCCGTCAAAAGCACGTGGTCCGTTATACATCGGGTTCAACAATTATCCGGGATTGCACGTGTAGATTAGTGTTTTGGTTTTTCAAACATGTTGCTACAAAATTTAATGACCTTTATTAAAAGAAAAGAAAGTTATGCTCAAAGGTTATCACGTTTTCAAGTTGGCCAGGTAATTATTTCATTCTCTTTTGTGTTATACGAAAATTTTACATTTGATTAATAACCAGCGCTATGCTCGCCTTGTTTAATGTTTCAACTGTGTTATAGGAACTAAGCAAGGATGATTGTAAAAAAGTTATATATATTTTGCGTGAATTTTTAATGGACCTAAAATGTACAGAAGATATCGCCGAATGTTTTCCCCAATTATTACCCGCACTAGTATCTTCATGCATTTCTACAGATACGATTTCATTCAACGACGGAGATTCGGTTCACAAGTTAAATTCTGTTGTATTGGGAAAATTACTTAACAAAAGTCGTGATTTATTAGCGTACGTATCTTTATCGATGTACAAAACATTTTACCCTAATTATTTTAAAATTAATTCTGCTTTATCACAGATTTGTGATGCAATATTTTGACGTAAATCCAGCACCATTCGAGTGTGTGGAAATTGATCCTAATAGGCGAAACAAGCGAAAAGTAGTATCGGTCGTAGAAGTGTCCGATTACGACCTGGTAACCGCTTGTTACGACATTTTGTGTAGCGCGCCGACACATTTCAAGTACATATGGAATTGGTCTAAATTTTTTAAATATCTGACTCATGACAACGAGAGTGTAAAATGGTAAAAAAGATTGCTTTGATTTACATAAGATGAGGAAACACTACAAAATAATTCTTAAACACTAACCAAAATGAATGATTTCTAACTTTTAGGGTAGCAATGAACTGTATCGCCATTGTATTGGGAATGTCGGAATCTTGTTGCAATGATTTTCTTCCACAAAATCACCAGTTATGTATCGAACATAATAAAGTTCATGAAAATAGTGTAAAAGCTACGTTTACCAAAGAAATAGATGATATATTCGATGATTTACCTTCTGTAGTATCCATCGGAGGGATTCTACTTCCGCTTATAAAGAGATATAAATCTAAAAATCAACTGAGTTTAGTGCCAGCACCATCTGCGCGCAGAAACTTACAAAACTTAGTATTCGCTGTGTCTTCTAATAAATGCGTATGCTTGCAAGGAGTAGTTGGTTCTGGAAAGACAACGTTGGTAGAGTATTTAGCACAGACTACTGGCCACGATAATAGAAATTTTGCAAAAGTACAATTGGGTGATCAAACGGATTCCAAGATGTTGTTAGGAATGTACAGATGTACCGACATTCCCGGAGAGTTTCTCTGGCAACCTGGTATATTAACGGAAGCTGTGCTGTCAGGGAAATGGTTGCTTCTCGAGGATATCGACTGTGCACCCACAGATGTTATCAGCGTTGTTGGACAACTCGTGGAAAACAAAACATTGTCAGTACCAGGATACAGGGACGCTATACACGTGAAAAGTGGATTTCAACTATTCGTTACCAGAAGATTAACTTCGGGTGGACTGCCGAAGCCGCTTCAGATGTCTATGCCGTCGCAGAAACATTTTTCCTGCGTCAACGTGGAACCTTTATCAAAAGAAGAACTTGTCACCCTTGTTCAGACTATATTTCCGCTATTGAACACAGTGGCCACGAGAATCGTAGATGTGTTTCTCTTGTTTTCCGTCGGAAATCACGAAGACGACATTGTAAATAGCATGAGAAATGCCAGGCAAATTTCAACGCGAGATTTAATCAAATGGTGCTCCAGAGCTGTGGTTGATTTTGATGTATCTTCACCCACGTCTGCGCTGAAGGTTTTCCAAGACGCCTTGGACGTTTTCTGTTGTTCGGTACCTGATCAGGAGCAACGATTAAATTCGGCGATATCGGTAGCCCACAAATTAGGAATCGTCAAAACGAAAGCGGAATATTTTTGTCAAGTGCACAAACCATCGATGAATTTTCACAAAGGCTATCTGATCGTTGGTAGGGCAAAGTTAAAAATGAAGAAATGCGATCGAGTGAAACTGGAATGTAAAAATTCAAACTTCTCTTACACAAGACCGTCTATATGCCTTTTGGAACGAATAGCCAGCTGCGTTATACAAAAAGAACCCGTTCTCTTAGTCGGAGAAACTGGAACAGGAAAGACAAGTTGCGTTCAATATCTCGCCCAGATAACGAGCCATAAATTGGTGGTAATAAACATGAATCAACAGAGCGAGAGCACAGATTTGCTCGGCGGTTACAAACCGGTAGACCTGAAACTTTTGATTTTTCCAATACGCGAAGAGTTCGAAATACTGTTCCGGTCTTATTTCGCGATCGAACCGAATCTGAAATTCTTAAACCACGTCGGACGTTGTTTCGAAGAAAGAAAATGGAAAACTCTAACCAGCCTGATGGTTCACAGCACCGTTGCAGCCTTGAATAGACTAAGAGCATCGGCGAAGAATCAAACCGAAGCGGAACTCGTAAAGAAATGGGAGAAGATGGCGGAAAAATTGGAGAAACTGCGATCCCAGGTGCACAGCCAATACTCCCTAGCATTTTCTTTCGTGGAAGGCAGCCTGGTGAAAGCATTGAAAAATGGGGACTGGGTTTTATTGGACGAGATCAACTTAGCCACTGCTGAAACGTTGGAGTGCCTTTCAGGATTACTAGAAGGCTCCTGTGGGTCGCTGTCCTTATTAGAGCGTGGCGACAAGGAACCGATTAAAAGGCACAAGGATTTCGCAATCTTCGCCTGCATGAACCCTGCAACAGATGTTGGGAAGAAGGATCTCCCGGTTGGACTCAGGAACAGATTCACAGAGTTCTACGTCGACGAGCTTACAGAGAAGTCGGATTTACTCCTTCTGGTGAATTCCTATTTGAAGGATTTGAACCTTCCGCCGGCGAAGATAGAAAGTATCGTCAAGTTTTATTTAAATGTCAGGAAAGAGGCGGAAACTAATCTTCTAGATGGAACTGGACACAAACCGCACTATAGTTTAAGAACTTTGTGCCGGGCTTTGAGCGTGTCCGCGCAAAATCCTTGTGCAAACGCGTTAAGATCCTTGTACGAGGCATTTTGCTTAAGTTTCTTGACGCAGTTGGACAGTAAGTCCTACCCTTTGGTACAAAAAATGATCGTTAAGACGCTGCTAGGGAATAGAGCTGTAAAGGCCATCATTGGAAGTCCCATTCCAAGGACGCAGAGCGGTCCGGCTGACCATTTTATCTGTTTCGAAGGGTATTGGATCCCTAAGGGCGACCTCGAACCGGAGGTACCGGAAGATTATATACTAACAGAGACGGTGAAGCAAAATCTGAAAGATTTGGTGCGAGTAGTATCTATTGGAAAAATGCCGGTATTGTTGCAAGGTGATACCTCTGTCGGTAAGACCAGTCTGATAACTTACCTGGCGAAAGCCTCCGGGCACACCTGTGTCAGAATCAACAACCACGAACACACCGACCTACAGGAATACGTTGGTACTTACGTAGCCGACTCGTCGGGGAAGTTGGTTTTCAAAGAGGGCATTTTAGTTACCGCCATGCGCAAGGGACACTGGATAATATTGGATGAATTGAACTTAGCACCCAGTGACGTTCTGGAAGCTTTAAACAGAGTCCTCGACGACAACAGGGAATTATTTATCCCGGAGATTCAACAGGCTGTCAAAGCCCACGATAACTTCATGCTCTTCGCTACCCAGAATCCCCCCGGGCTGTACGGTGGAAGAAAGGTGCTTTCGCGCGCGTTCAGGAACAGATTCGTCGAGCTCCATTTCGATGAAATCCCAGCGAAGGAGCTTCAAGTGATATTGCACAAACGATGCAAAATGCCGAAAACGTATTGCAGACAGATAATCAACGTGATGACCGAGCTTCAGATACGAAGAAAGAGCACCGCGACTTTTGCCGGGAAGAAGGGATTCATAACGCTTAGGGACCTGTTCCGTTGGGCCGAAAGGTACCGTCTCGCGCCTGACCTCGGAACCACTCTATACGACTGGAGCCAACATTTAGCCGACGAAGGGTACTTGGTCCTATCGTCCAAGGTTCGTCGCCCGGAGGAATGTTTGGAAATTATAGAGGTGTTGAAGAAGCATCTGAGGAGAGACGTCGATCCAGATACTCTGTTCACGCTATCGAAGGAAACTTCTTCGGTGACCAGACCGATTTTGAAATCTCTTCTGTCGAAGAAGATTCCAGGATTCAAACATGTCGTGTGGACGTATCAAATGCGTAAAATGGCGGTGCTTCTCTCGAAGGCATGCGAGTTTAACGAGCCGGTTCTGTTGATCGGCGAAACAGGCGGTGGAAAAACTACGGTTTGCCAACTTCTCTCCGTAATTAGACGACAAAAACTTAGCATCGTCAATTGTCACATGCACACGGAGGCTTCCGATTTTCTCGGAAGTCTTCGCCCCGTGAGGGAGCACAAAGAAAATCGGAAACTATTCGAATGGGTTGATGGCCCTTTGGTAAAAGCTATGAAAAGTGGAGGTTTCTTTTTGGTGGATGAAATCTCTTTAGCGGATGATAGCGTACTCGAACGACTGAATTCTTTATTAGGTAATTATTTATATTATGTCAGATATAATATAAATTATAATATAATGTATTAATATATTGTATTAATTATATTGCGTTTATTAATATATTAATACATTATATATTATGATTATCATTATTATTATTATTACTAAAGCCTTAGGCTAACCGGGCACTCAGTCCATTATTATATATTAATACATTATAAATTATAATTATAATATAATGTATTAATATATTGTATTAATTGTATTGCATTTATTAATATTTTAATACATTATATATTATTATTATTATTATTACTAAAGCCTGAGACTAACCGGGCACTCAGTCCATTATTGTATATTAATACATTATAAATTATAATTATAATATAATATATTAATATATTGTATTAATTATATTGCATTTATTAATATATTAATACATTATATATTATTATTATTATTATCATTATTATTATTATTATTACTAAAGCTTGAGGCTAACCGGGCACTCAGTCCATTATTATATATTAATACATTATAAATTATAATTATAATATATATGTTCGCATTATACAAAGTTCTTTCTTCTTTTCAGAACCTGAACGAAAACTTCTGATCGCTGAGCAATCATCCGCCGAAGAGAATGCAACGGTGACAGCGCATGAAAATTTTATTTTCGTCGGTACGATGAATCCTGGCGGTGATTACGGTAAAAAGGAGCTGTCACCGGCTCTTAGAAACAGATTTACCGAAATCTGGTGCGAAGGATCCGCTTCGTTCGATGATCTTCAGAGTATCATGATACATAACCTACGCGAAGAATTCAAAGAAAGCGTCTCCGCTGGGATAATAGAATTTCTGAAATGGTTACAAGCCACTGAAATAGGAAAAAAGCTTGTCGTTAGCGTTAGAGATATACTGACATGGGTGAATTTTATTAATTGTTGTAAAAATATGGAAATAGGAGATGCCTTCTATCACGGCGCCGCATTGAGCTACATCGACGGACTTGGTTCTGGCCTCACTGCCGTTGAAAAGTGGGTAATTTATTTCACAGTATGTTTTAAGGGGGGAACCTGGTTTAGGACGCCGAAAATTTCTTAATACTGGCAAATTTTTTTTTTAAAATTCAAATCATAGTAATCAATATAATCAATATAATAATCATAGTAATCAATATAATAATCATAGCAATCAATCATAGTAATCATTGTAATCAAGAACTTTTTAGCCGTTTTATTATTGGGAATAAAAAGTTATAAAAAAATTTTTTTTATTACAACATAATCATGTTATAATTATAGAAATTATTATGACGGCCGTCCACTGCGTGCACGATAGCGGTCATTCTTTTTATTTGAAACAAATAAACCAAACAAATTTTTAAACTTTATGAACTTACCTTCTATTTGAACTAAAAAAAATATTAGAAAGTCGAAAATTGACAAATTTATTCAATATTGAAGAAAAATTCTTTTTTTACCCACAAAATTTAACGATAATTTGCAAAAAAATATTGTTTAACATCAGTTTTTATACAATGTTTTCAGTTCAAATAGAAGCTCTATTAATAAGCTTTAAAATAAGCCAAGGTTCGTTAAAATCCGTTGATTACAATTTGTTTAATCGTCTACGCAGTTTCGAGATTTGCCTATATTTTCAGATGTGCCTACTGTTGATTAATATGACTTCCAAAAAATCGATTTTTCGACCCTCTAAACCAGGTTCCCTCTTTAATCATAATTTCAATCGCTATTGAATTATTTATTTATTTTCTAGTTCAAAGAATCTGAAGGATTTTAAGAAATCATCGTTGAAGTTCATCGAACATCAAGTACAAACTACATTGAAATCTAAATTATTATTGAATTGCGAGGGATTTGATGTCGAAGATCGCGAGGATGAATTTGGAATAAATCCATTTTATGTCAAGAAAGGGAATGAAAAAATTTCAAGTAACATAGGATTTGCTTTCAAAAGTCCAACAACTAGGATGAATACTTTAAAGGTGTTGCGCGCTCTGCAGTTACAGAAACCAATTTTACTGGAAGGTAGTCCAGGAGTTGGGAAAACTAGTTTGGTTTCAGCTCTGGCAAAAGCATCTGGGCACCGGCTTCTCCGATTAAATCTTAGCGATCAAACTGTAAATACTTTTTTTCTTTATAAAATGTGGCTATAAAATTTATGTTCATCTTTTCATTTTTAAACGTTACACAGGATATTTCGGATTTGTTCGGAGCTGATTTGCCAGTAGAGGGAGGAAAGCCTGGAGAATTTTCTTGGACGGACGGTCCATTCTTAAGAGCCATGAAAAATGGAGACTGGATTCTTCTTGACGAATTAAATCTTGCGTCACAGTCGGTCCTCGAGGGATTAAACGCTTGTCTCGATCACCGTGGCGAAGTTTATATTCCTGAATTAGGAATGACTTTCAAAGTGAAACCAGGAACTCGATTGTTCGGTTGTCAAAATCCTCTCCGTCAAGGTGGAGCTAGGAGAGGACTGCCAAAATCGTTTTTGAATCGTTTCACACAGGTAAAGATCCATTTTTCCTGTTTTTAAATAATCAAATATTATAATATTATCAAAAGGTATTGGTTTTGTTCCCTTAGGTTTTCGTAGATACTCTGGAACAAAAGGATTTGAAGTTCATTTTGAAGACACAGTTTCCGGAGCTTCCGGAACAATTATTGGATAAGATGATTCAGTTTAACGAAGAAATCAGCTCTCAAGCTGGAATTACGTGGGCCCATCAAGGATCACCATGGGAAATGAATCTTAGAGATGTCACCAGATGGTGCGAAATAACTATGGCAGCTTTTACCCGGAATTCAAAGAAGAGTTATAATCCTGGGAATGGTGCTAAGCTGATTTATGTTGACAGAATGAGAACGAACGAGGATAAGAACAATGTATGATAGTATTCACTTTACCGACCGGTAGCTCATTAATCTGCTTTTTGTGCTCGACACTTATCGACAGGTAACCTATTAATGGGTTGTTATCTATCATTGAGTTACAATTGTTAGATTGTACTGTAAGCTCCCATATTCTTATATAATTTTTTGGCGAAGTTTCCGAAACTTGATTTGACTGAGATTTTGCAAATAGCTTCATTTTGCATCAAAACAGTATTTGCGAGAAGGATTTTTGGCGACTCAAAATTTTGCGAAAGACAAAATTTTACCATTGTAATGTAATTTCCTGCATTATTGACACCGCGTAGAATAAGATTGCAACAGTTTTCTGTAAAGCAGAAAATGGCGGTGGAATCCTCACCCCGTCCCATAAAATATAGCATAACCTATTTTGTTTTTGAGGTACGTCGGTAACATTTTTTTCGAATCGCCAAAAATCCTTCTCGCAAACATTGTTTTTATGCAAAATGAAGCTATTTACAAAATTTCAGTCAAATCGGATTTGACAGAATTTCACAAAAACCAATTTTTTAAATCTTACAAATCGTATTTGCGGCCGCGCGGTCGGTAAAAAGTATGTACAACCGCTACCGGTCGGTAAAGTAGTATGATAGATTTAGAAACATTTCATTTACTATCCTCTTCTGAAACATTTTGAAATTACAGGTGATCGAGATATATAACAGGATATTTTCACCGACTGATTATCCTTTGCCAGATCCGAATTTCCCGGTCCACGTAACGAAAGATGAAGTTATATTGGGAGATGAAATATTGAATCGTAGTGATTTTTCTATATACGAAGACGATGATTTGTTGCTTCTGAGGGAACAGAAAGCTGTTCTTAGGAGTCTGGCACAGTGCGTTAATATGAATTGGATGTCCATTCTTGTAAGTATCTTTACCTATACAGGATCAGACTAAATTACATTTAAAAGCGGACATCACGTGATTCTTTATGAAAAAAATATAGAATAACATTTTCTGTTATTCGAGTCATTAATCTTAAACATTATACATTGAATTATTAATTGTGCGATAGGTCGGAGGATCTGGAACCGGAAAGAGCAGCCTCGTTCATCTTCTGGCAAATTTGGCTGGACAAAAGTTGAAGTCAATTGTCATCAATTCCGCGATGGACACGACAGAAATCTTGGGTGGCTTCGAACAGGTAAGTCATTTTATAAAAATATTTTTATTTCAATGTTGCATGCTTTCCTTGGACTCTCTCTCTCTCTGGATTTCTCCTAAGGTAAGATGACTATGATTTATATGACACCTGGTTGCTGCTGTCAAAGATAATCTATCATTTATTTACACATTAAATGACATTGATTTATAATTTTATAAACGCAAGTAATCCTTGTATAATCAGCAATACAAATATTTTAATTAGTTTGTCGGACGATCTTCGTGTAATGACTATATTCAATCCGCCAGGCACCATTTATTAATGAACTTAAATCGGTATCCTTAATTCTACCATCGTTTGGCTAACATCCATTTAACTCTAGTCTTTCGATAGAAATTGACATTGTTTCAGGGATTTTCCGGACTTAATTTCTTATTTACCGAGGGGGGTACTCGTTACAGGAGGACACATGGGTTTTTTGAAAAATGATAAACTTGTGTTTTACATTTAAACTATTTATTAGAAATACAAAACGCATTTAACAAAGTTAAAAAAATTCAAGGTAATTAGTATATTCCTCCAAATTAAATATCCATCAAAATTGTATGTAAAACTTGAAACGATATCGAATCATTTCTGTTTAATATTTCTTTTACCTTTTTCTTTTTTTACAAATTTCATTACCATTTTTAATTTTAACTAATTCAAGTAAAGATACATGCTACGTTTGTTAAACATTTTTCTCTCAAAAGATTCGATATAAACTAATTCAAAACATTTAGACAAAGTGCTCGTGCATCGAAACATGTATTTCTTGTTAAAGTATATTAGAAAATGCACGTCCGGAAATCCCTAAAGTTTTGCATAGAAAATATATATATGTATAAGTATATATTAGGTACACATACACATATACAGGGTGGTCGTTAAATTTTATTTTAATATTTTTCATTTCTGTTACCGCTATCATTTTCACTCCTTTAATAATAATTAAAATTATTGATAGTGATAGCTGGATATATTACAGATTCTTGGCATTATATCAGCGTTCGGCCAGTTTTCAGCGGCCACGCCCCTTTTCTCCCACCACTCGCCGTGTCCCGCGCGGGGACCCTAGTCCTCGAGGCACCTCAGGAGCGTGTCGTCTGAATTTTTCAGGGCGCATTGGGGCTACACTCGTATCAATAGGTTTCCACATCACCCATGGGGTACGATTCATACGGTACGCGTCTGAGGTGCCTCGCGGACTAAGGCTCTCAGCATAGGGCACAGCGAGCGATGGGAGGAAAGAAAAACTGGCCACAAAGAGCACTTAATTTCCAACGCTGCATTATACAGGGTGTCTCATAATTCCTGGAACACCTAGAAATGGGAGGTTGCTGAAGTGATTCTCAACAATTTTTTTCTGTGGCAAACTGTTGGTCGAAGCTTTGTTTTTGAATTATTCAGGAAAAACCCCCGGCCAATGATAGCGCGCGTAGCGCGCGGGGCCAGGGACGGCAGCCTCGACTCCTGCGCCCGCGCGCTACGCACGCTCTGATTGGCCGGTGTTTTTCGTTAATAATTCAAGAACGAAGCTTCAAGCAACATTTTGGTAAAGGAAAAAGTTGTTCAGAATCACCCTAGCAACCTACCATTTCCGGGAGTTACAGGAATTATGAGACACCTGGTATAATTAATTCGTACAATGCAAATGAGATCCACCTTATATCCTGTAAAAGGAATTAGGAAGAAAATTATAAACAAAATTCTAGTCCTAGTCAGGCATCGATTACAAATCCTTTTCACTCTGATTAATTCAATTCTTCCAACTCCCTGTACATGTACATATGTGCTCGCATTTATGTATATATATTTTTGTATAATGAGTGTATAATAACGATTAATAATACGAATAACAGTACCGGTAAATAATATAGTAATTAGAATCGAGGGAAAATCTCGATCACTTGAGTCCCCATTTAAGTGGAAAGCTCATTCGAAGGTGCAGACTATCTAATTTACTCTAATTAATCGTTTAAAGCTAATTGGTGCACCTAATGTTGTTTCGATTCACATTAAAGGAACTATCATTGTCGATGACTTTCTGACCTTTCTACTATTCTCGTGCCGTTACTGGCATCGCCTAAATAGACAAAATATCTAAAAGCGAAGTTTTACATGAAAATTTCTTTAATGTTGGCACGCAATTACCCGAGCAACTTCTTCTTGCTTTTGTGCTTTGGCAATCATTGAATATTCTTTTCTTTTGGCAACATTTCTCCTTTTTACTTTTGGAGAAAGATGTTTGAAAGTGAATTTTGTAAGAGAAATCACTCGTTTCAGATTAAACCCTTTGTTTGCACCGAATATTATTTATTTATTTTTTTGTATTTTTTAATGAGAGTTAAAAGTCAGCATACGGGGGTCATGCTTCATAAGAGAAAGAAAAAAATTAAAAGCAAATAACGTTTCAATTAATTTATTCACTTTTTTTCTTATAACATATGTATATGTATTAGGTCCACCTTTATCCATTGATAACAGTTAATTAATATGTTTATATAACATTTAAGACACATTTCAAAAAGTATTGTTCCATGAATCCTTTTTATTATCAACCCTTTTGGTGGTAGGCTCTCTCAAGTCTCTCCTTGGCTTTTCCTCCAACACTTTCTTTACGCTTACCCAAAACCAGGCCTGTATGACTGCTAGGCCACTGCTCCCACTCTTACAGCTTCAGACTTTCCCCACTACCCAGTAGTGTCAGTAGTGGGGCAGCGGTTTCTAGCAGATAGGACTAGGAATACGCGTCAAACATTGGAAGAGTGGGGAGAGCTGAGCGCGAGCGCGTTATTGGTGGGGGAAGGCGCTGCGTAGTGGGAGAAGGAACTGCGTCGGGGGGAAGGCGCTGCGTGGTGGGGAAAGGCGCTGCGTGGTGGGGGAAGGAGCTGTGTGGTGTGGGAAGGAGCCACGAGTGGCCCGCGGGCCGCAGGTTACACAGACCTGCCCTAAACCATAACAGTCCTACCACTGAAAGGGTTAACATAAATAAGAAAATTTATTCTTATTAATGGTTATTTCATATAATCAACTTTCCATTAAAATGCTCGCCTCATACGGATGTGCTGTCGACGTTGAAAATTCACACCTGCGAACCGTGTACCGACTTTCGACTCTCACTATTGTATACAAAAAATCTCTTCATCGACTGCAACAAAAAGTTCGATCAAAGGAATATTAGTATTACCCGTAATCGTCACATCTAATTAAATCAATTAAAACAGTGATTACTTTGAGAATGTTAAAGATTTAATGGAATATCATTTGTATCGAATAGAAATGTTTTATCCTTTTTTGAGAAAAATATAACAAATGAAAGGTTCATTCGCTAGGTAAATCGCTGCTAGTTGGACTGACATTTACTTTCGTATCGTTCATCGTCAACGGTGGTGGTATCAAAATGCTCGATCTTCTACTAACATCTTCATTGTAAACGCTTGATGTGCTTTTCGATCTTGATACCAGGGTCCATGGATCCGGTGGTACGATCACGGTGTCGTCCTGTACGTTAATTCCGCGATTAATTACGATTAGTTAAGCTTAAACAGAAATTGTAGAAAAGGACACCTTTAATAATGACGCACATTAGAGACGACAGATGTTTGCATGCGTTTCGTGCCGTAGGGAAGATCGGGGGCCAAAAGTAACAATTCGACCTTGAACGACGATTACGGAAAAATTGTAACATTTACTGCAAAATGTTTTATAGGAAAATCTGACATTATTCATTTACAGCAGTTTTGCTTTATGAAAAGTAATATTAAAGTTATTAATAAAAAAGGAAGAACGGAGAAAGAGTTACAACACGACTGGGGGTCGATAGTAACACAAAATATTTATGGAATTAAATTGAGTGAAAAATAAAATAATTATGTTCATATAGAATATAAGTAAATATAAATCAAATTCTTTTACTTAATTATAAATTAATCGCTTTTACAGCTGTGACAAATATACAAATCACTTTGTTTAGTGCACACTTCGTGTGCCCAATATTTACATTCCATGCACAGCACCCATTTTTCATTTGGTTTATCGGAGCTATACGAATTGAAGCATACGAGACAGTTATACTCCTTACTTTCTTTGTTACAACCTTCTTTATTCTTGTTTTCGCACTCGTTTTTACAAATTTTCTCTTTCCTATTCGAATTATGTGTCTTCTTGTTCACTTCTTTCCTCTGTTTTTCTTCATTTTCCGCTCGAACGTAGCGTTACATTCGACTCTGACTGATGTTGTTACGATAGTCCTCGACCACGCTTTTGGACTTTGATTACGAATTTTCACTAACAAGAACTTTGAAAGCATGAAACGACGAAAGAAAACACTTACTTACACGAAAAATATTTTTATTACAATTTTAAGACGCTAAGAAAAAGTTACGACTGTGTTTCCGAATGGCCCCACCAAAATTGAGAACTCAGGTTCGATATATAACCTAAATTGACTACAAGAAACTGATTAAAGTTGGTTTCAGAGCTGGATGTCTTACCGTTTTCGAGATATCTTAGGTTAGGTTAGATTAGGTTAGGTTTTGTGTATACGCAGTATTGAATAGCATATGTTCAGTATCGAATAGCGCATGCGCAGTATCGAAAAGCGCATGCGCAGTATCGAATAGCGCATACGTAGTCCCAAAATTGTACAAAAATTTCTTGCCACGATATCTCTAAAACGGTAAGACATCCAGCTCTGAAACCAATTTTAATCGGTTTCTGGTAGAAAGAAAAAGAAAAAGAAAACACTTACTTGCACGAAAACGTTTATATCACAATTTTAAGACGCTAAGAGAAAGTTACTTTAGGGCAGGCCTGTCTAAAGACTGGTTCAGACACGGCTAGTAATTTAGTCGAGTGGCGAGTAGTTACTTACTACTAAACCGTTTAGCGCATAGAAAAGTGTTTGGACTAGTATAGTTGAGCTTTGGAAATTGGGAGTACAAGATATATGTCGCTTGAGTAAAGAAAAGCGTCCGGACAGCCCTGTTCGGAAGTCTAGGTAGTAGTGGGGGTAGCCTAGTTAGCGGTGGGGAAAGCCTAGTTTGTGGTGGGGGAAGCCTAGTTAGTGGTGGGGGAAGCCTAGTTAATGGTGGGGGAAGCCTAGTTAGCGGTGGGGGAAGCTTACTCGACCAGAAAAATCCAATGAAACGGATCTACTTGACTAAACTGTAGTGTCCATACACTAAACTACTCGCCAAAATTACTAGCCGTGTCTGAACCAGCCTTTACTGCTAGAAGCGAAAGAGCCACTGCTTCCACTCTTACCGCTTCAGACTTCCCCCACCATCCAGTAATGTCAGTAGTGGGACAGCGGTTTCTAGCAGCTAGGACTAGGAATATGCGTCAAATATTGGAAGAGTCGGGAAACCAACTGGAAGAGTGGGGGGAGCCGAGCGCGAGCTGCGTGGTGGGGGAAGGACAGGTTTGCTCTATAGGGTGATCCTCTCGCTAGGGGACACAAAGGAACTGGCGACAATGAATCTCTTGACCGCACCATGAAGACACACAGAGTCGTCTCGGCCCGGGTAGGTCCCCTATGGTACGTGACAATACGGACCTCTTTATGGTGCGGTCAAGGGGTCCATTGTCGCCAGTGTTCCTTTGTGTCCCCTAGCGAGAGGATCACCCTGGAGGGCAGGCCTGTCCAAGTAGGGGAAATCCACTCCTGGACACATGTTCCCGTTCCTCTTCCAACGCTGCTCCTTCAAGTAAGATGGGACGGTTCCGACTACCGTCTCTCGGTCTTTCCTAGCGGCGGTACTTACTGTCTCCTCGGAACCGTCCCATCTCACTTGAAGGAGGAGCGTTGGAAGGGGAACCGGAACATGTGTTCCAGGACTGGATTTCCCTACTTGGACAGGCCAGCTTTAGGGTATCGAAGAGTCATTACGTTCGCTATATATTTTAATTGCGTATCTACGTTGTTCAGATATCGATGCGTGTATTTCAATTGTAACATTGGTGATAATAGCTGTAATAGACTTTGAATTATTTACAATGTTACTTTTGACCCCGATCTCACCTACAACTGTCCTTAATACCTTTCTATTCTTCCATGAGGCTGACCTATTGTTGCCTATTTATTTATGGCTCGTGCAAAAATTGTATTAAGCATTCTGACCACATTTTACAATCATGCAATATAAAAACCATTTGCTACTATTTTCTAAGACTCTCATGAAAATTGATAGCTTGAAATCCCTGAAACTGTAAAGAAAAACCACACACATTTTACTCGGGAACGTGCAGGATATTGGACCAGTGCATTCCACGAAGCGATTGGAAAAGCTGTTCGAGTTGCTTGAAAATATTTTCAATACCAGTAAGTGTTTGCCAGTGGGCGGTAAGGGTGGTTTCAGAAGAGCGACGTCGGTGAGGTCAGGGCATGTGGTAGCTGGTGGCAATGGCGGTTCCGGTGGCGATGGTACGGCATCGATGGGTTCCTGGTATCGTGGAGGTTGTATATTCTCTATGGGCATACTTGGACCCAGAATCCAGCTAGCGATCACCTCGCAACATCCGCAGAAAGATTCTGACAATCCCTGTCTAAGTCCTCGATGAAGGCTCAGAAACAACACCGGGTTCACGAATGCGTGGACGTACGCGATATGTAATGTCACCTGAAAATTCGTCAGAATTCCGGCTCTTAACCCGTCGAGTGCCACGTCATTCGTAGATTGACGGTTGATTTTCGAAGTCGGCCACGTCGTACATATAGCGGGTGGCAGAAGTATTCGGACACCGTTTAAAACAGAATATCTTGTTTAAAATTGGACCAAATGAGTTAAGGTTTTTCAAGCAACTATACAAATTAATTGTTAATTTACTAAGATATGTGCTTTTGTTGTTTTGAAAAATTATAATTTGTCGAAATAGCGAAAGAAATAGTAAAAGAGAATTTTTTAACTTTCTTATCAGAGCCTGTAATGAAAATTTAAAATATGTTTTCAATTAAAAACATTTAAAATGATATAACTATTTTTAATTTTTTTTTTTTAATATTTTAAATTAAAGACATATTTTCGTTGTTTTAAAAAATTATAATTTTCCGAAATCGCGACAGAAATAGTAAAAGGGAATTTTTTTAACTTTTTTATCTCTGCCTGTAATGGAAATTTAAAATATCTCTTTAATTAAAAATATTTTAAAGGACATAAATATTTTAAATATTAAACATTTTTTTTTTAATGTCTTTAATTAAAAATATTTATATCATTTTAAATATTTTTAATTGAAAACATATTTTAAATTTTCATTACAGGCTCAGATAAAAAAGTTAAAAAATTCCCTTTTACTATTTTTCTCGCGATTTCGACAAATTTTAAATGAGGTATTCTGTTTTAAACGGTGTCCGAATACTTTTGCCACCCACTGTATATGGAAGACGGCTACTGATGAATAAATAAAATTCATATTTCACTTATGGATAACGTTGCACGGAAATATAATGGTATATTATTAACCAGTAGCCTCTGGCAAACGTATGTGTACAGTTGGTTCTCGCAAATAGGTGTTAATGAAAATACTAAAGAGCTTGAAAATAAAATTTTGAAATTTCACATTTTTAAACTCATATTATGTTACATTATTCAATTACATTTTTAACTAAAAAAAAAATTCCTCTGCTTAACCGTCCTCTCCTAATTTGCCTTCTGCAGACTTTTTTTTATTCCCACAATTAAAATTGAAATTGAAAGGTAAACGATTATGGACTTGATATTCAACAGATTGTTACAAGGAAATTGAAAGAAATTACAGCAGAACAATTTTCAAATTCCTTTAAACAATTATGTGATTGATGAAAAATATATAAAAAGTCTAGTATTTCTAAAAACAAAAAAATAAATTTAAAACGAAAGATTGCAGAAAAAATATGAAAACAAAAAATGCAATTCGAACAAATAACCGATACAGATAAATATGAATGACGTGGGTAAATATATTGGATAAATTGATTGGGAAAAAAATATAGTGGATAAATTCATAAAAATAACGTATGAGGCCACGTAAAATTTTCTAGTAATTAATCATTATTATCCCGTTAGGATCTTTATAAATAACACCAAAATTATTTTTGAAGCTACAAATCAACAAATTATAAAATATTTCCTGTCTAGGGGTATTTATATAAAAATCAGCCTGCCACTCGATGTGTTAAAGAATTCTAGTAGTTAATTATTATTATTCTGTTAGAATCACAAAAATTATTTTTTAAGCCACAAATCAGCAAATTATAAAATATTTCCTGTCTAGGGGTATTTATATAAAAATAAGCCTGCCACTCGATGTGTTAAAGAATTCTAGTAGTTAATTATTATTATCCTATTAGGATCACAAAAATTATTTTTTAAGCCACAAATCAACAAATTATAAAATATTTCCTGTCTAGGGATATTTATATTAAAATGAGCCTGCCACTCGATGTGTTAAAGAATTCTAGTACTTAATTATTATTATCCTGTTAGGATCACAAAAATTATTCTTTAAACCACAAATCAACAAATTATAAAATATTTCCTGTCTAGGGATATTTATATAAAAATCAACCTGCCACTCGATGTGTTAAAGAATGCTAGTAGTTAATTATTATTATCCTGTTAGGATCACAAAAATTATTTTTTAAGCCACAAATCAACAAATTATAAAATATTTCCTGTCTAGGGGTATTTATATAAAAATCAGCCTGCCACTCGATGTGTTAAAGAATTCTAGTAGTTAATTATGATTTTCCTGTTAGAATCACAAAAATCATTTTTCAAGCCACAAATCAACAAATTATAAAATATTTCCTGTCTAGGGGTATTTATATAAAAATCAGCCTGCCACTCGATGTGTTAAAGAATGCTAGTAGTTAATTATTATTATCCTGTTAGGATCACAAAAATTATTTTTTAAGCTACAAATCAACAAATTATAAAATATTTCCTGTCTAGGGGTATTTATATAAAAATCAGCCTGCCACTCGATGTGTTAAAGAATTCTAGTAGTTAATTATTATTATCCTGTTAGGATCACAAAAATTATTTTTTACGCCACAAATCAACAAATTATAAAATATTTCCTGTCTAGGGGTATTTATATTAAAATCAGCCTGCCACTCGATGTGTTAAACAATCTTTTTCTAACAAATCGAAATGGGATGTTACCTCGTATCCTGTAGGATTTCCAATGCTAGGATGATCCACCAAAGTGACGAAGAACAATGGTCCCCAAAAGATACCGTACGCGGCCGTTATCACCAGAAACATTTTCACCCTCTGAACACCCTCCCGTTCCATTCTCTTCAAGTAGTTTCTCATTTTCCGGTGCTCCTCCGCTGCTCCGCTTCTCTGAAGCAATACACTTATTTTTCTTTCAACGAATCGAGGTTGTTCAAGAAAAGCAGGGGTGTGCGCCGGTATCCGAAATTACGCCAACATCCCTGACATTAACCGCTTCAGGGACGATTATTTTTATAGCGAGAAAAAATTACTTAATTTTTTATAATATTGATAGGAATCCAAAAAGCAGAAAAAAATAGGGAAAACAATAAAAATGCACAAAAAATCATAGCATTCACGTTTATGGTTGCTGAGCGTTAATAGTAATTTATAAGTGCAATGATTTCATACAAATTAGGGCGTCAAGAGTAATCGACCCAGGAAAGATGGATCAATCAAAATTATAATTTTTATATCGATTAAAAAATATTCTTTACGGTATTTTAATAGATTTTAATCTATTTTATAAATTGATTCATACCAATCGCGTAATATACAGGGTGTCCCGCGGATCATGGTTAATTAGGAGGTGATTATACATGTAAAAGTGAGTCGAAAAGGAAGAATAAAATTTTTTCTTAAGTGTCTTCGTTTTCGAGAAAATCGAAGTCGAAAATTACTTGTATTATACAGGGTGTCCCGCGAATCACGTCAACCGATTAGGAGGTGATTCTACATATAAAAATGAGTCGAAAAGGAAGAATACAATTTTTTCCTCTGTGTCTTCGTTTTCGAGAAAATCGAAGTCGAAAATTTACTCGAAAATTACTTGTATTATACAGGGTGTCCCGCGAATCACGGTTAACCGATTAGGAAGTGATTCTACATATAAAAATGAGTCGAAAAGGAAGAATAAAATTTTTTCTTAAGTGTCTTCGTTTTCGAGAAAATCGAAGTCGAAAATTACTTGTATTATACAGGGTGTCCCGCGAATCACGGTCAACCGATTAGGAGGTGATTCTACATATAAAAATGAGTCGAAAAGGAAGAATACAATTTTTTCCTCTGTGTCTTCGTTTTCGAGAAAATCGAAGTCGAAAATTTACTCGAAAATTGCTTGTATATATACAAATTTTCGATTTCGATTTTCTCGAAAACGAAGACACAGAGGAAAATTTAATTTCTTCTTTTCGACTCATTTTCACACGTAGAATCACCTCCTAATCGGTTAACCATGATTCGCGGGACACCCTGTATAATACAAGCAATTTTCGAGTAAATTTTCGACTTCGATTTTCTCGAAAACGAAGACACTTAAGACAAATTTTTATTCTTCCTTTTCGACTCATTTTTACATGTAGAATCACCTCCTAATCGGTTAACCATGATTCGCGGGACACCCTGTATAATACAAGTAATTTTCGACTTCGATTTCCTCGAAAACGAAGACAGAGGAAAAAATTTTATTTTTCCTTTTCGACTGATTTTCACACGTAGAATCACCTCCTAATCGGTTAACCGTGATTCGCGGGACACCCTGTATAAATGAACGAATAAATGAAAATTTTTCATCATTACCTTAGGCGTGCCGTTGGCAGACGTAGAATTTTCAGAAACCGCGTTCGTCTGTTGATTTCCCGTGGTATTCACGAGAATCGTTAACAGCGCTACCTTTACCTGGCACAGTAATCAATGAAATTTTATATACAAGGGATCGAACGATTCTTTTCTCAAGCTGATAAAAATATATTATCCAGGCAGGATGTATGGTAATACACGTGCCTGTTCGCGTCCTTGCACGAGGGATTCTGGCATAGGGGAAAGGATAATGCATGCAAAACAGGGAGCAGCTTTTAGAAGAAGGTATAAAAAGAGATATATGCGTGTACGTACAGCTTCAACGTTCGCCTTCGTCAGATCTTTGTGCAATTTTCGAAGATGTATGAGGGTGAGAGCGACGCAGATCATGTTGATAGCGATCCACAGCACGTTCAATATGTAATGACGGAAAGGACCGTGTACCAGAGGACAACTCGGAGCATTGTGTCCTGATTCCGTGTTCGCAGCCAGAGCACCACTTAGAAATGTCGGACCCAGATTAATCGTGATGCTCGCGAACCATATCATAAACGTGCCGAATAACACGCACTGAAACAATATTCGGACATCGTCTTATCATTGGTTATTATTTCCAAGATTATTAATTTAATTATGTGGACAGGTTGAAAATTTAGGGTCGCCGCGACAGAGAATCCTTGGAGATTATAAAGGGTTGAGGTAAAGGCGGCAGTAATTAGGTTTTTAAAAGTAAGAATCTTCCGATAACGGAGCGATAATCGTTTAAAACAGAATACCTCGTTTAAAATTGGACCAAATGACTTGAGCTTTCTCGAGAAGCTATACAAATTAATTTACTATTATAAGATGTTTTAAAAATTACAATTTGTCGAAATAGCGAAAAAAATAGTAAAAGGCGATTTTTTAACTATTTTATCTGAGTCTGGATTGAAAATATAAAATACGACATTTGTAAATTTGAGTATGTTATGTGTATGCTGAACATTTTATCGAGATTGGTCAATGCACTTAGAAGTTCCAAGTAATTAAAATTTCCGAAAATATAATTTTGGATAAGATTCCGATTGGCCACACCAAACTCGAGAACTCGGATTCGGTATATAACCTATACTCGATGTCACGAGAGTCCATATCTAAGCGCGCAGGTTGGAAGATGGTGGGGGAAAGCGATCCGCCAATTGCTTTCCACTTCCGCTGGAAATATCGCCAATCAGAGCGACAATGCGCAGAAAAGAACGAAAACTGGTCTTTTCGCAGTTGTGGACTCTCGTGACATCAAGTATAAATTGACTACCAGAAACCGATTTGGTTTTAGAGCTGGATGTCTTACCGTTTTCAAGATATCGTGGTAAGGTTAGGTTAGGGTAGGTAAGGTTCTGTGTATGTGCAGTATCGAATAGCGCATGTGCAGTATTAAATAGCGCATGCGCAGTATCGAATAGCGCATGCGCAGTATCATATAGCGCATACGTAGTCCCAAAATTGTACACTTTCTGACCACGATAACTCGAAAACGGTAAGACATCTAGCTCTGAAACCAACTTCAATCGGTTTCTTGTTGTCAACTTAGGCTTTATACCGAACCTGAGTTCTGAATTTTAGTGGGGCCATTCGGAAACACAGCTATAATTTTGATTAATATATTACAATAAATATGCTTTGGAATTCAACAAAACGACGCACACTAGAGTATTTGCACTGAAAAGGTGGACAAAAGTCGATTTTTAAATTTCGCGTTATCCATAATAATATTGCCTTTTAACCCTTTGAGGTGCAGTGTTTTTAGTTTTCTTTTTCGAAAGTAATTTTCAGATTTTCTCAACATATGAATACTTCTTAGACTCTTGGAGTTCCAAGTTATATAATTTTCATGGAAGCTGATTTAAATTACTTATAAACAATTAAAAATTGTAAATTCGATTATTCTTGAACGAAAAGTCCTATAGTTCTGAAAATTTTTGCTAGTTTTCTCTAAAAAAATTTTTGAATTTTGCAATTCTGACGTCAGAATCCTAATCAACGACTACCAAGAACCTTCAGACAACCTTCGATTTCGGTCATTTGTTCGTAAGAATAATGTGCTCCTCAAAGGGTTAAAGATCACAGAAAATTGCTATACGAACGCCATCGACATCCTTTGATTTCTAAGTGTAATACAAACCCCATTGATGACACCTGTAAATTACCGGGTACACAGGGTAGCTGAGTGTGTACACCCGCGCTAAGGGTTCTCTTTCTGAAGCGGAAGTGAGAATAGGAAGAGTGGCTATGACGAAGGGAGGAACGGAAAGGGAAGGGAAGGATATAATGGAAACGTGTCACATGCATTGTTAGAACGAATTCAGCGGAGGGGTGAATTGCGGTGGTAAACTGTCCGCGACGGAATGACGTTGCTTTCACCGCGGAATTAATTGTGACATCTCGTTTATACGAGCCGACCTTTTATCGATAGACTCGATTAACCGTCCACCGTCTACTAATCAAACTTTTAATTGCTTCCTATATTGGACATTCGTTTAGAACTATAATCGTTTCGACTTTATTCGTTTCATCCCCTAATTAAATCATCCAGCTAATTACCTTCGTTAATTACAAAAAAAAAAAACAATTACTTGATATTCATTTGCGAAATTCGTCTCGATTTTTTCATCATCCAGTTAATTATCTTCGTTAATTACAAAAAAAAACAACAATTGATATTCATTTGTGGGATAAGTCTCGATTGCTTTTTCACACCAATTCGAGCAATTCCGACAAGTTTCAGATGAATTGGCAGCCGCTGTTCGAAAGTACGGTCGTAAATAATTGCCGAGCACCCTTTCGTGCAGATGTTGCGTTTAATTATTAAGGGTGTTTCAATTTTGTGCGAAACTGTAGTTGTTACAGTAGGTGATCAAATTATTAGGGCTATGGTATGAAAAATGGGTTTTCCTTGTTTGTGTAAATTTTAAGGTGTTTGCATTGTGTAACTTTTAATCAATAATTCTTTAATATTAATATTCAAAAGGATACTTAGAAAAATAAACAAATACATTTAACACGTTGAACGCCACAGTGAAATTGGGCATTTCTTGTGGGACGTATTATAGCTCTAATTACTAAGAATAGTGATAATTAATTTTCAAATCTCAAGCTCTTTATTTCAAACTTTAATTACTAATAATAGTGATAATTAATTTTCAAATTTTAAGCTTTCTATTTACAGCTCTAATTACTAAGAATAGTGATAATTAATTTTCCAATTTTAAGCTTTCTATTTAAAGCTCTAATTACTAAGAATAGTGATAATTAATTTTCAAATTTCAAGGTTTCTATTTACAGCTCTAATTACTAAGAATAGTGATAATTAATTTTCAAATTTTAAGCTTTCTATTTAAAGCTCTAATTACTAAGAATAGTGATAATTAATTTTCAAATTTCAAGCTTTCTATATAAAGTTCTAATTACTAAGAATAGTGATAATTAATTTTCAAATTTAAAGCTCTAATTACTAAGAATAGTGATGACTAATATTCAAATTTCAAGCTTTCTATTTAATGCTATGATCACTAAGAATAGTGATAATTAATTTTCAAATTTAAAGCTCTAATTACTAAAAATAGTGATAATTAATATTCAAATTTCAAGCTTTCTATTTAATGCTATGATCACTAAGAATAGTGATAATTAATTTTCAAATTTAAAGCTCTAATTACTAAAAATAGTGATAATTAATATTCAAATTTCACGCTTTCTATTTAATGCTATGATCACTAAGAATAGTGATAATTAATTTTCAAATTTCAAGCTTTCTAATTATAGCTCTAATTACCAACTGTAAGAATAGTGATAATTAATTTTCAAATTTCAAGCTTTCTAATTAAAGCTCTAATTACCAATTGTAAGAATAGTGATAATTAATTTTCAAATTTCAAGCTTTCTATTTGCCATTTCACATTATTTGTACCATACCAATATTACTTAAAATAATGTTTTTCTATTGTTTCCTATTAATTATTTAGGCATGTGCAATTTGGAGGGCCGGTCACTGGTGACCCCCATAGCGTCAACGTGTTAAAAGATTGTTTAAAACATACACATGTATGTTAGTATTCCGTAACGCCACCTTTTGCTGCAATTACTGGCTCAATTATTTTCGGCATACTTTCGACTCATTTTGATTGCTTTATTTCTAGACCATAATTCTATCAAACGTTCAATCAATTAACATTTATTACTAATAATAAATATTTCCACAAATTTTCGATGGGGTTGAGGTCCATGAATTTTCAGGCCAGTCAAGAACTTTCACTTTTTTCAACTGTGTATCATAATTTTACAAGTATCAATACATAAAAAAATAACAAAAACTCCGTTTAACTTGGTTTTCATTATAGAATTAATGATATTTATGTAAAATCATCAATTTGTGCGAGTGGCTCTAATAATTTGATCGTCCACTGTAGATCGATCCGCGAAACTGTAGGTCCGTTGAAAGGCACTTTGTGTCATTTAGCGATGGTAATTTAGTTAAACGACACGTGGCCACGAAAGTGCACGTATGTACACGGTAAAGAATGCAATTTCGCGAAGGAAAGTAGGTACAAGTTGATTTATGAGAACGTAATATTCTCTTTGAATTAGAACCAGGCGACTCACGCTGGTTCATTTCGCGGAAAACCTGGCCAAAAAATTCAATTTTTCAAGTACGCGGAATCAATAAACTGACATAATGTATTTATTAAAGTGTTTCTCAACCCTTTTTGGCCGGCGGACCTGTCTTTCGTCGCGGATCGGTGGTTGAAAATAGCTGCATTACAGGCATTTGTCTTCTCAGTGCCGTATTAATTATAAATTAAGTAAATTTTAAATTAGTTAAAAACATTTTTATTTCGTATTTTTATAAATAAAAATTTCATTATTATTTTTTTTTTTGAATAGGAAAATTTTTTAACACGGACTGGTGGTTGAGAATAGCTGCATTACAAGAATTTGTCTTCAGTGCCGTGTTAATTATAAATTAAGTAAATTTAAAATTAGTTAGAAATATTTTTATTTCGTATTTTTATAAATTAAAATTTTATTATTATTTTTTTTTTTGAATAGGAAAATTTTTTAACACAGACTGATGGTTGAGAATAGCTGCAGTACAAGAATTTGTCTTTAGTGCCGTGTTAATTATAAATTAAGTAAATTTAAAATTAGTTAAAAATATTTTTATTTCGTATTTTTATAAATTAACATTCTATTATTTTTTTTTTGAACAAGAAAATTTTTTAACACGGACTGGTGGTTGAGAATAGCTGCATTACAAGAATTTGTCTTCTCAGTGCCGTGTTAATTATAAATTAAGTAAATTTAAAATTAGTTAAAAATATTTTTATTTCGTATTTTTATAAATTAAAATTTTATTATTTTTTTTTTTTTTTTGAATAGAAAAATTTTTTAACGCGGACTGGTGGTTGAGAATAGCTGCATTACAGGCATTTGTTTTTAGTGCCGTGTTAATTATAAATTAAGTAAATTTAAAATTAGTTAAAAACATTTTTATTTCGTATTTTTATAAATAAAAATTTCATTATTATTTTTTT